GGGCGGCCCCTTCTTCGGGACGCAGAAGCGATCTGGCGACAGGTAAGTCGCCAGGATCGCTTCTGTTGTAAAGCCGACAGTCGGCTCTACAAGTTTAAACAGAGTCCCGGCGGCAAAAGTCGCCGGGAGTCTGTTTAAACAGCCCCGATGCTGGCGACGTACACTGTACGTCGTCAGTCACGAAGGGGTTAATGAATCCTTCTATTCCCACTGATACTTCAGTGATGACAAAGAGCGCACATAAGAAGAGGGACATTTTTTTCCCCCCAAAACCTTTAAGTGTAAGACTGCACTATTCCAAAATAAAGTGGAGATCCAGATCACAAATGCCCATCCCATGACTTTGATATAGATTGGTAAAAATTTAGCATTATTTAGATTTAAGCAAATAGGGATCTGGTCAGAGAAAATTAGTAGTCTGAAGACTTACCAGTTCATCTGCTTGCATCCTCATGTGCTGCTGTATACCATTCAGGGCATTGGAGGTGTCAATGACTGCCAGTTCACTGCCATTCACAGCACAATACAGTTCAGCTGCTTTGTGGCCGAGCTTTGGCTCCGTCACAAACCAGTACTCTGAGCCATCAACAACAATTGAAGGGTTCACCTTATTCTTCCAGTCTACAGGAATAAAAAATAAAAGAAAAATGTTCGGAAATCATATATACGAAGCTGGAGAAATTAGAGCAACAGCAAAATAATTTAAGCAAAACGTTATTCCACGGCATCTTGGTGAAGCAGAATACTTATAAGCAGCTGCCTGGGACTGCAGTCTCTTGGCAGACGTGCTGTGCTAAACAACCTTACAGGATTTAGGCGACTGTAGTGGGAGTATAATTTCTCTCAATTAGGGCAGACTGGCCAAAAAGCACAGGTAGAATTTCTTGCTGTGACATAAAACACTAACCACACTTGGCGTTTGTTACCACTCTGACGTTTTCAGGCTTTTAAATGCTTAAATACATATTATTGATCTGTACTACATAAGCTATTACAGGCTATTGGTTAATGAAGTCCATCAGTGGTTAAAGATGGGTCATGCAACGCCGATTACCTCTACATGAGCTAGAATGTCATACAAAAAAGTGGTCTGACCTCTTATCCCAGCCACCAGTAACACTACTGTCACCAGGTGGGGAAAGTTAATCCAGCAGTGCCCTGTAACAGCACCAGGAGGAACCCTTGGAGGTAATTTAGCAAAACTCTAACAGACCGAATCTGGAGCAGTTGCCCATGGCAACCAATCAGCTTCTCTCTTCAGTTTGCTCAGGTAAGATTTATCCTGCTGGATTAACTTTCTCCACCTCTGGAGATAGGGTCACTTAAAGCAATGATAGTAAATCGCATTCCCTGCCAAACATATCACCACAAGAACAAACATTTACAAATCTCTATAATGGAATGCAAACATCAAAACATGGAAAAGTAAATTAAATATGAACACCTCATCCAAAAAGTCCTTTCAGGTAAATATACAGCTCTGTGACCTACAGAAAATAGGTTTTCCTTTATTTACAGGGTCATTGGAACTTTATTTCTCAAAGATTACACCATTACAACATAAAATAAAACACCGTACTTACCTGGCCGATACCACTCTGGAGTTTTCGGGACGACACCTAGAAAAGTTGAAGCAATATATATTAGGTCATTTAATCTTGTGACTTTGAACTACACCATACAAATGGTCTACAAAGAACAAGGACATTCTTGCTCCTTCCTCTATGCAGTAACACAGAGGCGCTCTTATCTGCAAGCACTGTCTTTATAAGCAGCGTCAGGACCCCGACCCTCATATGACAAAATGAGTGATTGTAACAACCTTTCACAGTTGCTAGAAGGTCCCCCGCCTCTTTAGCAGATACTGCAATCCACTTTAATTCATATGTACAGCTGAAAATTGTTTAAATTTTTAAAATTAGTTTTAAAAAACAAAAACGTCAGCTCTTAAAAATATTAACAGTATATTGAAATTACTCATGAACGCTGTACTGGTCTTCTTTTACCTGTGGGATCAGCAGCATGTCCGACATTGCTTTGGGCTTCACGTTATTACAGTACTGGCTGTGCGTCAGTACTTCTAGTCCTGTGCCATGAAGGGATACACGAATCCTATTGCCCAATGCCCGGGACATGAAGTTCTGTGAACCAGCCAGGTGTTCTTTTTTTCTACATTTAGCCCTGCTGTGGGGAAGTAGGGATAAAATATACAGCAGGGGAGCCGTTCTTCTTTCTGTACAAGTAATCTGGGCAGCTGTACAGCCACCCAGATCACTTGTTGCAGCCTCCTTATTCTGGGCCCCCGCTCTAGTCCTTGGACAAGTAGTTTTTTAAAAAAATCTCCGCACCCCTGCAGTGCCATCTAGACTCCCCTCTGTAGTTCCACAGACTATAGAGGTGACACCACGATGATAGCACTAAGGCAGGGCGGGACTAAATGTATGAATGAAGGTTAAGCAGCTTTGCAGTGATTAAATAACTAGTATAAAATAGAAAAGAAAGCCTATATGGGATTTTGAGGGTACATTGTGTTTACAACATCAAATCATTTGTCTTAAAAACGTTTTACTATAATTCATTAAAATGCCTAAAATGAACAGTAAGAAACAGCCGATGAAGGTTCCTAAAGTTCTTTTAGTATCACAGCAATATATATCATACATATATGTCACATTTCTCTTAGAAATTGCCCTAGGGCAGGAAGTGTGCTATTGGCAGAATTACCAGATTAAAATAAAAGGGAAAAAAGGCTCAAAATCTCAAACTAGGTGTAGAGTTGGGGACACCATAACAAGCGATCACTACTCCTTTCCACCTACACACAGGCTTTTTAAAATTTGCAATGGCGGTTGTGTGTCAATGCTATTATCAACATATATTTTGTTTTTATCCGGAGAAACAAGTCTGTCAATGTGTATATTCTGCTCACCTTTGGCAACCTGGCATACCCATTCCAGTTCGGCATCACAGTGGAACGGCTGCAGACTGTATTCCTGCTCATGAATTATTTCAAAATGCCAAGTCCACACATTCCTTTGCTTTGGCACATTAATCTATTTATTCAAAAAACAGGACAGATAAAGAAAAGCTTATAGTGGATCATCTGAGCATAACTGTACTTAGCTTCTAACTTATCAGGTTACTACAGTATAACAAACGCCACACGGTCACATGATGTATTCATTACACACACACACAAACACACACTAACAGTTAAAGTGTTAGTTCACCTTTATATTAAAAAAATGATTTCAGTAAAGCTTTTGATGTAACACATGTACACAAGGGAAACATCCCCGCAGTTCCCAGCTGCATTCTTGCTAACTTACAGATGACGAGAACAAAGCAGGTTGCACTTTGACGCAGGCAGTGTACATTATTTTTAAAATTGCTAAGAAAGAGGGGAAAGGACTTTTTGGCAGAAAAGACATCCAAAGTTCATCTTCTAGCAATAACCAAAATTAAGCAAAATTACACTGGAATTTGTTATTGATAAACACAGAAATCTCAATTAAATCAGTGAAAATAAAATTCCTGCTTGGATTGTAAGAAAGACAATTACACAATGCTCATTGGCTTGTAATTCATATAGAGAATTGTGTGAAGCCCCTTTTGCTTTTCTTTAATGTGACTAAGAAATGGAGGTATTATGATGTTCCTTATTTAATAAGCGGTTTCCCATATAGATATGATGTGGCTTCTCATCTCACCTCCAATGCAGCACAGTCTCGCAGGAAGTAGTCCTCTTCCTGAAATTCCTCCAGTACAGTTGAAGAGATCTTTGGCAGGAAGAAAATGTATTTTTAAGCAAAGCATAGTTAAAAACTTTGTCAAAAAACCCCCCAAAAACAAACAAGTCCCCTCATGGACCCCAGCAGGCATCCACATCTATGCCACAATGAAACAAAGTGACAAGGCATGCTTCCAACATAGCTGGAAACCAGAGGTAAGCTGTAGACAATGTGTGGAAATAATACTAAAAGTCCATGTTAAAGGGTTGTAAACAGAATTGAAAAAAAGCTGCAGAGAAAATACTCACCTACTTCGATGTGTCACTTTCTTGCTGGCTGGATGATTGAGACTTCAAATCCTCACGGCCAGAAATGCTTTAGAATGTAACCAGTAAGGTAGCAATGTCTCACTCATCCATCCAGCAAGGGAGCAACACATGGAAACAGGGATTTCTCTTCCATGCGTTTAGCCCTGTATAGCGTTCCCATCAATGCAAGTATTCGCCAGCGAGAGGAATGCTAATGTGATATGGCCCTAGGGGTGGGGTGGGGTGAAGTTTATAGCTGATAAAATGTATTTATACAGGACGTTTACTTACAGGGCGGCCGTCACTCCACTCCCAGCTTCCCAAGTTTCTTTTATTCAAGCCGACCCAAATCCATCGCTTTTCACTAGAGTTTAAAAAGCCAAACATAAAGAAGGGACATCAGACTGGTAACCAAGATATCCAAGTCTAAATACAAAGCACACAATTATCCTATTAAGGTCAGATACTAAAAGTAAAAAAACATACCTCAACCTTGATTTTAAGAAAAAGTGAAACGCTTTCATTTCCATTATATGAGAGAAACTGACAAGACTCCCACCAAACTCCTCACACATTCCTTCAGCTTCCTCCCAGGTTCTTTGCCTCAGTAGTCTCTCTTTGTGGAAAATCTAGCAAAACAAACAAAAATACAGCTTTAAAAAATACAGGATAAAGAATAAAATATTTACTCCAAAGGGTTAATGTAATTAATAGAGCTTAACATGTGAGGGAATAAGTCATACCAACAACCAATTTAACGTAAAGATGTGAACTCTAAGAGCGAAGATTTGCTATACATGTGTTACAGGGAACAGTTAAAGTGACATTAAAAGGCTAAAGTCGTCGTCCCCCCCGTCCCCCCTCCCCACACACAGTGCTAAAGTAAGGACTTACCTTAAATGATGCCTCTTAATCTGATCTTCTTTCCTGTAGTTTTCAGCTGTCCTTCCAGCACTGGTGCAGGTCTCCGATCCAGCGCTGACTCCTCTATCCTCCTCTTCGCTCATGTCCCACGGACTGTGTGTGGGTGCACACTGCTCCATATATTTACCTTCTGTCTCTCCTAGTCTCCCGGCCGAACTGCGCATGCCCCAAGAACCTTTGCGCATGCCCCAAGAAATATTCAGATGTCCGGACAGGAGCACGCGGTGAAGACACAAGTATTAACCCTTTCAAAAAGCTTTTAAAAAAAAAAAAAAAATTTTGCATCTATCTACTGCTTGGTAGTAGTAGATAGATGCAAAAACAAATGAGGGTTTACTAATAAATTAATTAAATACAATCTAAGCAGTACCCTGAAAATTATTTTTTTTTTCTCGTTTTGAAATCCTCCTGGTAAGTAAGTGTACCTAGACACTCCCGTGTTTACAGTCTCATAGCTGTTTATATGCAGTGTGAGATCTTAGGCAATGCTGCTTCTGACTACTAGTCTTCTCAGATCTGGAGTATGGTTTGGTGATGTCACTACTGTGCCACTCACTGTTCTCCATGCCGGAGGCTCTGACATGAGAGCAAAAATCCCTACCAAGATGGATATCTTCACACAGACACGGTAAAGCAAAAAGGCATGGAAAGTCAGCAAAAGGGGAAAGATCAGGTGTGGGCAGACCACAGACAGTACTAGTAACAAATGGATTGCCCTCTGCCTGCCTATTTTGAGCACAGCTTCCACAGTCAGTTCCTCTTTAACCATAAGAAAAGGAACTCATCCCATCATGTCATGACAACACTGCACAGAGGTTAAATGTCATTCAAGTGCCAACGGGCAAATTTTTCTTCAGCTGTCACTACCGATAGGAAACCTGCTTATCCACCTAAATGACTGCCTTCCTTTCACACATACTTGCCTACCTTTTGCTCCCTTGCTACTCAATTCAAACAGTAGAGAATTACTCAGTACTTATAGGTATCGGCAGCATGCAACTCCCTTCCTTTCCTCCAACGATGCAGCTTTAGAACAGCCAATCAGCAGGTCCCAAAGTATCATTGACCTCCGCAGAGATGTGCTAAAAAGGTAAGTTTATTGCATTTTAAATACTACAGGTGTTGGGGGCTGAGCTACAAGTAAGAATATTAGATAACACAAATGCACAGCATGAGGGGAGACAACTCAGCATAAGGGCAATAAGCTGTATAATCACAAAAAACAAAAAGGCCAGAGTTTGCCTTAAATAATATCAGAGCACGTTGTGTGAATATTAAAATTACATACTTTGTAGCAATACATTTCTGATCCAGGGAACCAGCCATCAGGACAGGTAGCATTGGGATTTGGAATATCTTCTTCTTTGACAGATCCAATGCCTTTCTTATATATAGACCGAGCTTTAAAACTCTTACAGTCTTTGACCTCCCATTTTCCGAGAGACTCTCCTCCAGCCATTGCAACACATTCTCCAGAAAAAGCTAAAAAAACCCAGATATAAATGAGAAATATAAAACTAATGCTACAGAAATATATATTAAAAAGAGACAATGAAGCCTTAGAGTGTAACTTTAACCCAAAGAGTGTGTGCGTGTGTGTGTCCATTTCCAGTTATTTCCAGAACAGTTATGCTAATCATAGAATCTGATTGCACAATCTTCTTTCAGATCTACAAACAGCCATGTAGTGTAAGGGTCTGTACAAGTGGATGAATCCTGAGAGGCTCTCACATCATGTTGTTTTTATTAAACAAAGAAATATTGTATAATGCTTGTCAGATGACTCCACCCATTGCAGGGGGTAATGCTTGTCAGATGACTCCACCCATTGCGGGGGGGTAATGCTTGTCAGATGACTCCACCCATTGCTGGAGGTAATGCTTGTCAGATGACTCCACCCATTGCTGGAGGTAATGCTTGTCAGATGACTCCACCCATTGCTGGAGGTAATGCTTGTCAGATGACTCCACCCATTGCTGGGGGGTAATGCTTGTCAGATGACTCCACCCATTGCTGGGGGGTAATGCTTGTCAGATGACTCCACCCATTGCTGGGGGGGTAATGCTTGTCAGATTACTCCACCCATTGCTGGGGGTAATGCTTGTCAGATGACTCCACCTGAAGAACCTTATGGCAAAGTTGGGCATCAAACCAGGCCACAACCTCCATCTAGCTTTAGAGAGGCACATAAATGTAAAAGTCTCCTAAGTCTTCTAAACAGTTTCTCCATACTCACTACAGCTGATTTAATTTCTCTTTTTTTTTGCTCATTATTTATTCAGGTTATGTACTCTTTAGAAGCATATTGCTTGCATTCATGACATTTTTGCACTGGAGCCTGCAACCGTGATCTGCACATTGTGAATGCAATGCACAGGCTACTGCAGACGCTTTCTCCAGCCCCAGGTGCGTACGACAGTATGGACTTTCAGTTATGAGGCTGGAGGTAGTACACAATGAACTACAAGTGTGGTGGCTAAGATGGAACTTGTAGTCATGCCATCTAAAACATCTCTGTAAATGGAGGATGATGCTGTAGGGAAAGGGGGGTGGCAGTTTTACGGTGGTGGGTTGGAGAATGTGACCATGTTTCATGTTACACCCTAAATACCAGGAATAATATGATTTTTAAGGAGTGTGCGCAATTCTGCAATCAATATGGAGAGAAAAGCGGAACCATAATTCTTCCGACATTTGTCAGATAAGTACAGCAATATAATAATCAGTTTGAACTATGTCACAATTGCTGCTGATTGAGTACAGTAAAAGAAGGAACAGCTGTCCTCCTGCAAAGTATTTGAGCCTCACATGAGGTCTGCTGAAAGCCACTGGCTCTATTTATCATATAAAAGAACATTGTAAGTTGGGATAATATAGCACAAGAAGTATATTGCATATACAGAAATGAAGTGAGATTGTGATAAAATAAGATTAGATCCCTATGGTTCAGTGTGACATGCAGGACAATGAATTGGTGGACACGAAGATTAGAAGCGAAAGTCTGTGGGATTATGGTAGTATGTACAATCATTGGTGAACCACAATGTGATGCATATTCCATCACCTCAATAGTACAACAAAATAAGCGAGCAAGCTTGTTCTCCGTTACAGAGAGTTATGGACTTTTACATCGGAATTTTCCACTTGTGGAACTCTAAACTACTTGAATGGCATACGTCTGTGATGCACTGAAAAGTGAATAGCTGAATCCTTCTAGAACAGAACTCCATAAACTGAAAACAAATATAGCCCTTAGTCAGCATTATTTCCCTGAAGGGGTACAAGTGCAACCATAATATGTACTACTAGCATCAGGTAGGGTAGTGGTATGTGGGGGTATCCTGAATTTGTGTGCAGTTTAAGACAGATTTGTTGTTTTTATGGTGGTGGTGAAAAAAATATGCACTTATTCTGTAACAATAAAAGATTTCCCATTAAAGTGTCCCCAAACACATTCATCTCTATTTACAGCCTTTTTGGTATACACTGTGTGTGGGGGGGGGGAGCAAACAGAATATGCAGCAGATTTGCATGGCAGCCAATCAGCTTCTCTGTCTCATTTTCTAATCTTAACTGAGCAAACTGGAGAGATGCCGATTGGTTGCCATGGGCAACTGCTCCAGTTTTGATAAATTCCCCCCTATGTGTTCTGGGAAATAAACCGCACTGTTTGACAAAAAAGGGTGTAGAATTTATTTAGGTGATGACAGGAGATGAGGCGGCGGGTAGATTTTATAATTATTTTTGCGAGAATTAGAACCTCTAAAGTTTCTTTCTGTGTTCTGTTCCCAGTGGAGGAGATGTTGCTTCTTTTCCTATCCTGGTGATAGGTGGTAACTGGGACATGAACTGAGGGGATATCAACCCAATGGGGAGACAGCAACAAAGTTCTGACAGAAGATTTAACCCTTCCCTATTTTTATGCAAAACCAAGAAACAATTGACTACAATGCCACTTCACTTTACCTGGCTCATGAGTGTTCCAGTTGGAATAGGAGAGGTCTTTCTTCCCAGCTGCTGTTTGCCAGTAATATTCTCCGGAATTATCAGTGTCTTTTAGATTTGTCCAGTAGTACTTCCCCTCTGAATTAGTTTGCTCTCTCATTAAGCTGTTTAGGAATTCCTGTTCAAATCTAAACAATAGCAATACAACATGTCAAACCAAAGTAGAGTATTGTAACCTAATTCCAAAAGTTTTATCATGCACAGGACAGATTGAGGGTTGTCACATAGCACATACAAAGCAATAACCTTTATATAAAAAAAAAAATATGAGGATTTAAAGTGTGTAGTGACCCTGTAAGGGATGGGAAAAAAAACCCCATACTAAGCTACTTTCATATCATTCTTTTTTTCAGTACATGGATTACTCCCCCCCCCCCCCCTTCCTTGGGGTCCTGGAAAATTTTTTAACAAATTTTTTTTGAAACAGGAGGCTCTACTATCCCCTTATCCCTGTTCCTATTCTTCTCCAGAGCCATACTGCAAGAAAGAAAGCAGTCTTCCTCATCCTCCAAAGATCTAGTCTCTGACTTGGTAAGGGATGTAGAAGCCTGAGGTAATGGCAAGGCTCACCCAGATGGGGAGTAGACACATTAGCCATCAAAGAATGGAAGGTCTGAAAAAACCCCACGGGGTGGCCCGCTCCATGTTTAACCAAAGTGATCAGATCACTACAGACCGATGCCGATTCTTCCAGAATCAAATCCGAAACACAAGACAAATTGGCTTCTTCCAGGAAACTGGAAAACAGCTGCCTACCTGGGCCATGCTGGTGCCTGAAGCACCTGCAGTCACCATCGCTGCAGAGACCTCTATTGCAAAGCGCACAGCAGGAAGCATGTATCCACCTAATATATCCTCTGTCCCGGAACTCCAGAACCCTGCCGTGCTAGGCTGGAACAAGCACCAGAGAGGACTTAGCCCCTCCCCTGAGTCCCAGCAGCTGGAACCACAGCGCATGTCACCCCCGAAAGTGGCTCTAGACATCACCAGGACCAGAAAGTGGATGCTTACTCCACTAGAGCACCAGGGATGGAGCCCCTGCCAAGCATGGAAAGGAAGGGAGCCCCTGTCACAGAAGCCCCTGACTATAGAGATAGTGGTTGGGAGTCCCAATTGGTAAACAGAAAAAAAATAGGCCATCTCTCTAGACAAGTCTTGGGAGAGTGCAGCTCCCCATGCTCCAAGTAAGAGGAAACATTAAAAACTGATAGGAGAGGGGCCTCTGAGTTTTTCTGATGGGTGCTTCCCACAACATATGGGAGGAGACACTATATCAACCCTCTCTCAGGTGCTGTCCCAAAAGATGCTTGGGGGAAAAAAAGATATTATACTCACCTTTACTCTGTGTTGCAGGTAGTGATATAAACATCATCTGACAAGATCCTGGAGAGTGCCAAGTTTACCAAATCTCGCAAGAGGACACGAGCACAGTGCTGGGAGAATCTTCCCAGCGAGATTTTGAGTGCATTTCCCAGATCTCAATGGAAGAAAGGCAATGCAACCTTTGCCCAAGCACCACAGGAGGAAGCCGGTATTTTTTGTGTCATACAATTTTCCTATGGTTCAACAAGGGGTGGTGGGTAACAAACTGCAGACCTTGCATTTCATGTGCAAGGTCAGCTTTAGGCTGTGGTGTTTCTACCCCACACAACTTCCATGTTACACTTCTCTCCATATCTCCTGAACACTATTTTGAAAAAGCAACTATTACTAAATAGAAAAAAAGTTTTTAATTAGTTTATTACTTGTTTGTAATTGTGAGATTGCATTTGTCATCAAAAGTGACTTCATCGTTATTGACGAGGTAGCAGTATTCTCCATGTCTTTTCCAGTTCTACATGTAAAAAAAAAAAAAAGAAAAAAAGGGATGAGAGAATGAAGCTGAACAATTAAAGCTTGCATTAGGAAACGTCAGAATTCTGAAATTCCTAGTCATTTGGACTGGAGAATATCTAAATGTACAATCAGAGACATATACACAGCTGTCCTTGGAAAGGAAGTTAATCTCATTTGTTACAAACGCAAAGCAAACACGTCGGCCATTTTAAACCTTTGAAAATAACCAAAAGGTGGCCGCTATTAACTGTTACCAAGAAAACCCTTCTCAGTGTGCTTACTGGATGTGCTCCTATCAATTGAGAGCACTACAATGGACGTCAAGGATACTTTCATTGGACAGGGGGCATCAGATTGGCAGGGCTTAGCCCAGAGGTCAGGCCTCTAGGAAAGGAAAAGTTAATCAGAAGCCCACAGAAATGGAATTTCTGGATAAAAAATAGGTGATAGACACCCAGCAGTCTCTGCTTAAGGAAATACTTTTCTTTCAAAGCCTAAAATGGCTGGCAAATTCCCTTTAGGCTGCATATTGACATCCTATCCTCACTCTACTGAACAGAAATAGCATCAAGTTTACATTTTAACTGTCAGTGAAGGGTAGCAACAATCTGCAGCAGGTGATATAGAACACTTCTAAGGCAAACTGTTTTCTAGTACACTTTATATAAACCCTGCACATTCCTGATTGCTGCAACCACTTTTTGTCCACAGTTAGCCAGCAAAAGGCGGAAGAATCATTCTTACTGGTTGGTATGAAAATAAAATGTACTTTTATTCTTTAAAAAACTTATTTGGAGAAGATTTATTGTAGTCTCCTTCAAGAGAACATGATTTGATGTTACAAAAACATAAGGCAACTGTAATGCCAGAATATACCTTTTCCAGGGGGCACCCAGAGTCAGATGCGGTAGCATTGTTTACTTTTCCAAGCCTCTTGCATATAGAATTAAATTTTTCTGTGCAGTTCCTAACATGCCATCGTCCAGTCTGGGGATAAAAAACAAGAGGTTTGTTACTGAGCAATGTAAAAAATATCCGTGTACTTGGAAAAATAAGAATAGGAGAAAGTAGTTTACAAGTGTAAGATATTCATTGACCCAAAATTCTCCTACACGGCTGCAGGAGTCATGGGGATACATACTATTAAGTTGCCAGACATTCCATGTCAAAGGTTGGCTTGTCCATACTAAGCATTAGCTACTATGTCTCTTGTATACTGCATTATTACTAAAGTAAAAACTTAAAAAATGAAAAAAATTGAAGTAAAAGAAGACGAGATAGAATATATGAAAGACGAAAAGGAAAAATCGTATAACATGTGTTGCCACTGACAACAGAAACTCACCGTCCCAGAGAAAGACACACAGCTTGGAGTCACGTTGAATGGAGGAAGGGGCTCATTCTGATCCCAGTATGTAAAATGAGTTTCTGTTCCATCGGACCATTTAAACAGATGGGGGATAGAATTGCTCTGAAATCCTGACCAAATATTTTCACTTTCTATCAAAAAAAAATGCACAGGGGTAAAGATCAGAAAGAGAGCAAGTGCAACAGCAAGAAAGACAACTGCTTGGCTGGTGCAGGTACTATAAAAAACATTGCCTTTTCAGTGTCTTCATGTGACACTAAACAAAAATGTATCTTATTTGTGTATCACTGGTGCTGACATTGTCCTTCCTTCTGGAGGGGGGCTACTTTTGGTCCCTGTGTGTGCTCCAAGCTCGCTTCCGTGATGGACTACAATCTCATGTTTAGTTTACTAATTTGTATTGAGATTGTAGTCCATCACAGGAGTGAGCTTGGAGCGGTGACTACTTTACAACACACACGGGGACCATGGGGGACAAAAGTAGCCACCCTACAGAAGAAAGGACGGTGTCAGCACCAATTCAGCCGAATGATACACAAATAAGATACATTTCTGTTAATAGTTAAGGTACTTGAATAGAGCTGCAGCTAACGATTATTTTCAAAATCGATTAGTTAGCCGATTATTAAGTTCGGTTAATCGGATAAACAATAAAAAAAAAAAATAATTAAAAATGGCTCCAGTGATGAATGCATTGCTAAGATTTACCCCCTGAGCTTAGTGTCACTTTCAGCTAGGTATACATTGATAGATTTTCATACTAACATTTTATGTGAAAAATCTCATCATAATATTCAATAATGCCATCAGAGACTTTGTTGAATGTCATTTAGCTTTAACATTCGATTTTGGAATGAACGGAGTTTCACAAGTACGCACCACATTTACTATTAGAATTTTGTTTTGAGAAACATTTTCCATCCTGCTCCTTCAATTTGTTTTTTTGTCACTACAGTCGATTGTCAATGTGACCCCATAAACTTTAATAACTGAATGAACATTCCAAAAATGAATTTTTAAAGAACAAAATTTTAACAATGTATATTTAGCTTTAGTGCTACTTGCACTAGTAAAAAATTAGCACATGCCAAACCTGGACACAGTATCACCATGCCCTCTATAATCACTGACGAATGAAACATTTTCCCACATGACAATTCTATATAGAAATTCTAATGATCGCCCACCACCCACAATGAGGGATTTCTTTTGGGAAACATAATTCTGATCTAAATCTCGATGCCATGAAAAATGATAATGCGAATAGTGCAGTAGCCACTTCAACATCTTGATCAGATTTCAGGAAAATGAAGATTCATCTGTCTTAATTTTTACTGCACTTAAAGAATATATGAACAGAAGCCATAAAAAAAAAAAACATATTGCAAGAAAAAGTTTTATACCATACTTGCGTTATTTTAATAAAAAAAAACAAATGTTTTGTACCTTTATATTGTTTTCATGTGGCAGTCATGTGACCACACAGCCCCCTTTGCCTTCATCTTGCCCAGGGGGGGCGGGGGCACAGGATGTCCTCACACAGAGCAGGGAAGTGTTCCCCGTCTGTGTGCCCTGCATTCCAGCAGCTACTGTGTTGTCAGCGAGGCTCCTGCTGGGGGCCACTGTCAATCAATACAGCAAGGATAGGGGGGCATTGTGGTGACTCAACAGACTACAGGAGATACAGGCCCGCCATGTGTCAGCAAGGTGCCCTGGATCTCCATGTAGGAAGAGAGACACAAACTGACCACGCCAACACAGATCTGTTTCTGTGCTCGATGTGGTCAGAATAATACAAGAGAGAGTGTAAACTGGCAAGATTGGCAGGTATTTCAGAGGAAATGAGGATATCAGAAAAGAACATGTTACATTACCAACAGCAACATAGAGACATATATGTGAAAGGAATTTTTGGGGTAACATACAATTCAAAGGTTTTTAATCTACATTTCTTTGGCTTTTGTCACTATGGGATGGATACAGTATAAACTAGGGATGCACCGATACCGATACTAGTATCGGTGTTGGTGCCGAGTACTTGGGTGAGTACTCATACTCGCCCAAATGCTCCGATGCCTAGCCCAACCTCCTGGCTGGTCGGGAAGCTGGCCAAATCATGAGGCTGGGCACCGTGTAATGATGTGGTGCCCGGCTTCCTGACTGGCCAGAAAGCCGGGTACATGCTTTCTCATCACCTAGTGAAGAGAAGCATGGAGACTGCTTCCCTGCTAATCGGGAAGCTGGGTGGCGAGTCTTTACACACCACCCGGCTTTCTGGCTAATCAAGAAGCCAGGTGACGAGACATTACACGCCGTCTGGCTTCCTTAATTGGACTTCCGGTACTCGGTATCGGCGAGTACCGGGAAAAAAAAAAAAATATCGGTTCTCGTACTCCATACATACCGAAAAAACGGTATCAGTGCATCCCTAGTATTAACCTTTTTTTTTATAGTGGAGAAAAATGATTGTCTGTAAACAAGGATGTGAAAGAAAGGATCTCCAGCCGAACCAGTTCTGGTTGTAACGAGTCAAAAGCACACCCGATGATGGGAATGGGTAGAAAAAAATAAAGCCAATAGGTATTCATATAATATAATATTCATGGTAAGGTGGCATCTGATCTGTACCGGCTTACAAAAGCAAGCATCTAGCATTGTACTTAAATAGAATAAAAGAACCCCCTAGTGTGATGGTGCCTGAGACCGCAGGTCCCTTTCTGGATCCTGGGAGAACTCTGGTCAATGGACATGAAATAGGAAGTGTCTATGCCATGTAGGTGCTGTTGACGCTCAAAAGGAGGAGCCAAGCAGGAAGTAAGCAAAAAAGGAAAATACATGACTGCAGCTTAAGGAAAGTAAATAAGGGATTTTAGATTAGAATTTGATTTTTCTTTTTTTTCATCCAGCGATCAAAAATTGTGGGGCATGAAAGGGAGGGGTGGGCGGCAGGTGACATGCATCCTGGAGTTGGGCTTTAGTAGTATTTTTGCACTGCCAATAAGGACAAAAGGTGTATGCAGTTCCCTATTCCAAGCTTCCCTACTGAACCCTGGCAGAAGAACTGCATGTTGCTCTGTGGTGTGCTGTAAACAGCAGAGTTACTGTACATAAGCTGCTCTGATCACACCAGTAGTATTAACCTCTTAAAGCAGGTCCATCACACCTTACAATCTGCTGGGATACCAAAGTGTTTATTGTAGGGCTGCAACAACTAATCGACATAATCGATTATAATCGATTATTGAAAAAGTTGTCAACTTTTTCAATAATCGATTAATCGGCTTCCCATCAGTTGGCCCTGTTCACAGCTCCACACGCTGTGCGCCGCACCTCCTCCCCACCTCACGCTCGCCGCTGCCAGAC